AAGCTGCCTCACAGGGCTGTGATCAGTTTGGCTCTGGGAGATCCTGGTGTGGCTGAAGCCCCAGGTCCCTCGAGGGGAGCAGGGGGAGCTGAGAGCCCTCCCTGGGCTGGGTGGGTGCTCTGTGCAAATGATTTTGCTCCTGTCAGTCCCATTCCTCACCGTGCGGACTTCACCTTGACTCCTCGACAGGCTGGTGCCAGAAGAGATAAAGAAGACGAGTGGATTTGGAAGGAATGTTTTAAAAAAAACCGAACAAATCACCCAGGAAGCTGAGGGTTAAAGGCTCAAAGATGAAGCACAGCTTTCAGATGTAAAAGCCCTGTTGCAGCGATAGTCCAGGTCAATAATAAAAGCTTCAGAGTGATGGAAAACCTGCCCTGTCAGTAATTTCTATTCCAAGAGATGTTTGTGATGATGCAGTTTACAGCTTGAAGTTGTAATATTCTTTTTCACACCATGCACTTGTCCAGCTTTGTCTCTTGCTTAATTACAGCTTTTTCTTTTCTTTTTTCACGATGTGACAAAATTTTAGTTTGACAAAATGGCCCCACTTGCTTTTGCAGCGTCCATCCTATGAATCTTTCCAAAAATCAAAATGATTTTGCAACAATTGTCAGCAGTGCCTTGCTCTGTGACAGTCAGCTCAGAAATACTTCGTGATGAGCTCCAATAGGCACAAAAGGAGACAGAAAAACGTGGTGGGTGATTTCTGCCTTTACTTGTTACCCACATAGAGAGTGGAGCCCCTCGGGTAACAGGGAGCTGCTGTTCCTGGGCACGGAGCAGGCTCCCGGGTGAGCCCAGGGAAAGCTCTTCTCTTTGTCCCCTTCACCCACCAAAAAGGGTAATTCACTCTCCTGGCCTGGCTAATCCTTCCTTTGCTGGGAATTCCAAAGCCAAGGCTATCAGTGTGCCGGTTCCTGTGGTTTTGGGAGCTTTTTTGATCGTATATTCTTCTTCTGGAGATCGTAGCTGATGAAATTTTATTGCCTGAATCCTGTAGCTTCTGTTCAATCTCATTTGGAAAAAAAAAAAAAAAAAAAAGAAAAAAAAAAGAAAAACTTGCAGCCCTCGGGGCTGTAGAGGAAAGCTTAGGAAAATGAACCCTAAATGCCCTGGCATTCAGACCAATAAAGACAGCCTGGCATCAGTTGTCATGTAAATAACAAGCTTGTAAAATAAACACTGCACATTCCAGCGGTTGTTTGTTAAATCTGCTTCTCCTGCAGTCTGCACAGGGACCTGGTGCCAGCCTTTCCTGGCCAGCAGAGCACCAGCACCATCCTCCTCCTCTTCCTCCTCACAACTGCCAGCTTGGGAACAACTTTTCCATGTTGGGAGCAGCAGTAGGGGCTCTGAAGATGGGCCAGATGCTTCTCAGGGCTTTTCCTGGAGAGCAGTTCCTGCTCTCTGCACGGCCCCTGGCTCCACCTGCACAGGTAAGGGGATGCTTTGGCACGTGGGGCTGGATTTCCCACTTACCTTCACACATTAAGGAAGGTAAATCCAACTCCTTCCTGGTGACAATACTTTGTCAGTGATATCTTGAACTTAATTGTACCATATTATACAGAAGATGTTAATCTAAATGTAATCCAGCTGCTGTGGGTCACTATTTCTGAAGTCTGTGTTGAGCTTGCCAGGGGTTAAGTGTGGCAAACTCTTACTTCCTGCCCAGATCTGGTTTATTTTTGTAACACAGGAGTTTTCAGTAAGTTTGTACTGGAAAAGTGCTTGGCTAAGGCTTTTACTGGTGAAAACAGACCAAAAATGCTTTGCTCAGATTTTTACTGGCATCAGTAGATGAAATGCTTTCCTCCGTTTTATGCTGCAAGCAAATATATACTGATAACTAAATTAACTCCTTGATTAATTAAAGCACAACATACATTCTAGCAGGGAAACAGAGCTTTCATCCCTAGAAATGTTTACATGAGAAGATGATGGTTTTATCTGTGATGGCCAGAGTGTGCAGACACATCCTGTGGGGAGGCTGGGGCTGGGCAGGGCTGAGGCAGGAGGCTCAGCCTGGGCAGGGATCTTGTTTGGATACGTGATGCCATATTTAGAACATACATAAAATAACTCAAAGAGAAAGAAGGATGTCCTTTGGCTGCTGCAGAGTAGATTTGTCACACTTGCACCACTGTTTTGTGATCTAACTGCTGTTTGGAGGAGGATCAGGGACTAAGTGTCCCATCCATCTCCACTGGCCTCAGGTTTTTGTGTATTTGCTGCCCGGAGACCCTCCCTGGCAGCTGTTGGAGCTGTGTGTTCCTCATGCCCTCCCTCGGCTGCCAGCAGCACTCCTCCAAGCTGCAGTTGGCTCCAAACCTTTTGTCCTTTTCTCCTAAACCATCTTTGTGTCCTTGGGTTTCAGCACGAGGGCTGGGTCCTGCTGGCCATCCTCTCCAGAGTGCTGGGTCCCCAGGGGTCTCCTGGGGAAGAGGGGATTCCAGGCTGCAGCTGGAAGCAGGAGGAGGAGGAGGAAGGGCAGAGGGCTGATGCTGTCAGTGTGTCACCACCGGTACGTGCAGTGCCAAGTGCCAGCACTTGTCCAGCAAACTGCCACCCCCCAGCCCTGTCACCTCCCGGCAGACAGGGCCACCCTGGTGAATCCAGCACTCCCTGGAGCAGTGTGGGAAGCAGCTGGCAGGGGGGCAGCAGTCTGCTGCACAAACTCCACAGCAGAACCCACCATGAAGTGGAATTACTGCTGGTTCCAAGAGTGAAAGCGTCCCTGTTGTCACCCTGCTTACTCCATCAGGTGGATGCAAATCTCCTCACATCCCCACCAGCAGAAACCCTCCTGCAAAGAAGCCTTGAGAAAATAGAAATCGTCCAAAATCCTGAAATTTAACACGACCTTTTCCTTCTAAAACTTGCTCCAAGTTTAGTTTCACCAGATTGCAGAAATCCAGATTGTGTCTTAATTTATTAAAACATCCCAACCATTTAAAATTGCTCAGAATTCTCAGTGCCAGGATGCTCTGCAAGAATTCTCCTTCCCATCAAACTTTGGGGGTCCAGAGGAAAGAAAGTAGAAGTTGTGGATTTGAACAAGTGAAGCCGCTTTTGAGACCTGATGCAAAGCCTGCCTTTTTTTCTCTGCCTGCCAAAATTCCCCAATAGATTTTTAGAGTTTCATAAGAAAACAAAACAATTCAACACTGCAAAACCTCACATTTCCAGTGACACTCCAAATTCCCTAATTTTACCGCCAACTTCCAAGCCTGCCGGCGCCAGCTGCGATTACGGAGGGAACCCAAGAGCCGAACTCCGGTTGGAAAGCCGCGGTTTAAGCGGGGAAAGAAGGCTTGGGAGCAGGAATTGTTGTGGCAGGGGAAGGGCGAGGAGCAGAGCTCCGGGAGCCCGGGGATGCTCGGGCTGGGAGAGCACGAAGCCGTTCTGCGAGTGCCATCCAGGGGACGAGAGCTGCACTTCAGCTGCTCTGGGTGTGGAGGAGGAACCCACCGAAGCCAGGTGATTAAAAGTTTGCGAGCCGCCGGTGCGCAGGGATGGGAGCGGGAATAACGAGCTGAGGAGTTTGGGAAGGGAGCAGAACTTCCGCAGCAGGTCTAAAAATGCTAATTACAGAACCACAGAATGGCTTCGGGTGGAAAAGATCTCCAAAACCATCGAGTCCAGCCTGTGACCCATCAGAACTTTGTTGCTCAGAGCAGAGAAATGAGTGCCGGGTGTTCCTTGATCTTTCACGAGTACAAAAAATCATCACAGCAGGAGAATAAAGATAGTGCAGAAACCGGGGGTTCAGCAGTGTGGGGGCTCTGCCCAGACTGGGACAGTTGATCTCCCACAATTTTCCAGCAAGGACAACTCCAAGAGGAACCCAGGGGGAGATGTGAGAAACAGATTTGTAAAGGACTGTCCAAACCTGACAGAAAGCTCACACGGTCTGTACATCTGTGTGCAATCTGAGATGAGCTGTGCTGCCTTAGGAAGGCCGTGGAATAGAGATGAAATTGTTGAGAGAGACTGAACTAGAAACAACTTTCAGCAAGTTTCAGCTCCTCCTGAACGGTGACTCCAAACCGCCCCGGGCGGCCCCTTCCAAGGGCGGTGTAATTTAGGTGGATACCGTTTGTGTGACCCTCTCCCCGAGACCCCTCTGCAGCCCCAGTGACATCTGACCCTGTCCCCAAGTGCTTCCCAGACCTCGGCACTTGGGAAAACCCTCGCAGGGAGATCCCATCCTGCTCTGTGCCCATCCCCGCCTGGGCACCGGTCGTTAAAGCACGGCCATGCTTGTGAAGGAGCAGCGGGGAAACACAATTTCCTTGTCAGATAAATCAGTTTGGGGGAGGGGAAACTGATTTTAACCGCTTTAAGGGGAAACTTTTCTGCTGTGGAGCTGCCCGCGGCGGCCGTGACCCGCACCCTCCCCGGGCTGTGGGATGGGGGTCGCGGGGCTCACCTTGATGATGAGCGGGTTTCGCAGCATGCTCAGCCGGACCAGCCCCAGCCGCTCGTTCTCCGTGCCCGGGCCCGCCTCGGCCAAGGTCATGGGCCGCCGCCGGGGCCCCGCTCTGCCGCCCGCCATGCTGGGCGGCCGCGCCCGGGCCCGGCGTCTCCGGGCGGGCCCAGGCCTGGGCCGGGTGCCGGGGGCAGTCTCGGCTGTCCCGGTGCCGGGGCTGGCTCGGAGGTGCCGGTGCAGGTGCCGATCCTAGGGGTCTCTGCACGGTCCCGGTGCCGGGGCTCTCTGCGCGGCCCCGGTGCCGGTCCCGATCCCGGGGCTCTCTGCACGGCCCCGGTGCCGGTGCCGATGCCGATCCCGGGGCTCTCTGCACGGCCCCGGTGCCGGTGCCGGGGTTCTCCCTCAGAACTCGCGGCGCGCGCGGCGGCGTCCGTCTCCAGGCAACAGGCGGTGCGCCGCTCTGATGGGTCCGGCTGGGGCCGCTTCCGCCGGGGGAACGGATAAGCGAGGCGCGGGTCGCGGGGGGCCGGCGGCGCGGGCGCACACCGCGTGGAGGTAGCGGCAGGCCCGGCGGGCCCGGGGAGGGGGTGGCGGGGCCGGGAGGGGCTGCGGGCTCCTCACACCGACCCCGGAGCTGCCGAGAGCGCTGTGGGAGCGCTGGGAGTCTCCCTCGGTAGCCCCGGAGCGGCGGGGTCCGGCCCGGCCGCGCTCAGCCGGGGTTTATCGGTATCTGGGCCTAGGGGCGAGCTGCGCTTTGTGCTTTGAGCGCGGAGCTTTCGGGGCCGCTCGTTCCCCTCGCTGGCGGGGAGGGGATGCCCGGGACCGGCCGGCGGTGCGAGCCGCCCTGGGAATGCGAGATTCAAGGGCGCATGTTTCAAACGTGAGGCGGGGGTGTTGCGTGGTGAGTGTTTTGTACGTGCTGGGTGTAGAAAATGTGCTAAAAACGCTTCCTGCCACCTCTGTGTGACTGAGTTCTGCCGGCAGGGCCGAGCTCGGCCACTCAGACGCTTCTAATTAGAGAATTTTGGGTTTGGTGCTGATGAGTCTCGTATTTTTTTTGTTGCTTTTGGCTTGGCGCTGTTTCAGGGCTGAAAGCTGAGTTGAACAGTTGAACACACTTGTCAGACGTTGCTTAGCTATTGAAAATCAAATAGTTATTAAATTAATAGTTATTAATAGTTATTGAATTTATTAAAGCGTTTCTTGTTGTTGTAGGGAAGCACTTTGGAGGCTGGGGGCAGCTGTGATGCACATCTGTTTGACAAAGGAGGCATCAGCTTTTCCTAGGCACTTTACAAAACTAACTGGATTGAAAAGTAAGAGCCTAAGATAGAATTGAGTTTTTAATTGTTAAGGTTTTGGGTGGGGTTTGTGCTTTTTGTTGGGTTTTTTTTGTGGGGGGCTGTTTTGTTTTAAACAAAAACAGTGTAAATGACAACACTTCAATAAAACTCCTCTCTTTTACTTAAGAGAAAAAAGATGAAAGGCAAAGCACATGCAGGTGATTTTCAAGTCCAGGATGTTGTCAAGAAGAAGAAAAAGAAGAAGAGGAAATCAAATGAGTCCAACAACCATGAATATGCTGAAACTGTGGAAGATGCAGAGCCTGGCCACATTTCCCCAGTGCTTTTTGAAGATCCAGCAGCACAGGGCAAGGAGGGCAGGGAAAAGAAGAAAAAACTGAAAAAAAAGGCTGAGAAGCAGCAGACTGTGCTGGATAATTACTTTGTGAAGGTGGAACATGGGATCAGCAATGGGACTGGAGCAGCTGCTTCCCCGAGGAAGAAGAGGAAGAGGAAGGGTGAGGAGAGCAGCCACGAGCTCAGCGATGCCAGCTGTGTCCCTGTGAGCCAGGAGTGCCAGGAGGGTGCTGCTGGTTATGTTTATTCTAAAAAACACAAGAAGAAAAGGAAACTGAAGCAGCCTGAAGAGGAGGAGGAGGTGTGTGAGCTGCCTCCCTCAGAGGAACACAGCAAGGGCCACAAAGAGAAAGCCAAAAAAAAGAGGAAGAAGAGGAGGGAGGGCCGTGGCCAGGGGGACACAGGTGGAGCAGCTGAGCCACTGCTGTCACCCTCGGAGCAGGACAGGGGGTGGCCTTCACCTGCGGCTGAGGATGGAGGCTGTGATGCTTCTTCTGGCATCACTGAGGTCTCCGTGGAGCTCCCTGCTGGCTTTTCCACACCCAGTAAAGCAGCTGGGAGAGCTGCAAAGACTGCAGCACTTGCTACAAAGGCCCCTAAAAGCAGCCCTTATGTCATGGAAGACAGCTCTTCAGAGTCTGATGTGATGTGAGTTCGGGTTTTGTTGTGGGGTTTTTTCCTTTCTCCACTCCCCAGATATATTCCTTTGGTGTTATTTGGGTTCCAGGTTTGTCTTCATCCTGTTTTGTGTGTGTTTTAAAGGAAAACTTGGAACTTATGCAGCATTTGTGATGTTAGAGACCAACTTTAAAACCTCAGTTTGCTTGTGGAGATCCAACAACAATTTTTAAGAACACTTTCAGTGTAGGCTCTTTTCTCCTCTTTAAAAACTGTAGGTATGGAAATAGCTTAGCTGCAAACATTTCACATTTAAAAAAAGAAAAGTGGGGGGAAAAGAAAAAGATTTCATTCGTTAAAGTTGATATTTACAGTGAACATGTGCATTTTAACCAAGCAGCTAGTAAGGGCAGCTAAACAATTGAATGTCCTGTGCAAATAAATGCTCGTGTAAGGAGTTCTTGATGCCTTTGCAGTGTCTAGAAAACAAAACAGGAGCACTAGTAAGAGACAGATGGAAAAAATCAGTGGGCCAGTGCTAGGAAGAGGCATTATTTCTTCAGTGTGCCCACGTGTGAGAGTTTTGTGGATTTTCAGAACTTCAGAAAGCTCCTTGATTATTGTAAGTATAGAAAATTGGAAATAAATTACAATTATTCTGTTAAAAGGTTAGAAATGCAAGGCAGTGGATGTGTGAAGTATTTTTTGTTCTGTAATTAACAAAATTAACAAATATGTTAATTCCTTTAATGGTAGAGATGTTAACAACATCTCTGGTTTGGAGTTCTAGTGGTGTATTTTATTTTATGCCTTTTTTTTATATTAGGACTCCAAAAGCCTTGGGGTCACGTGAAGAGCAGCAGAAGCAGCAGAACAATTCCTTTGCTGAACTGGCAGCCTCTGATGAGGTCAGTGTGGATGGTGAAGAAGGGCTGGACTCTGCCATGACTTCATTTGTGGATTTGGATACTGCAAGACAAGAACTGGAAGAGTTTATTCCTCATGTGAAGAATATATCAGACAGTTCAATCAAGAAAATGGCTGGAAGAGACCTAATGAGGTTTAAGGAGTTTAAAAAACAGGGTGAGCTCTCTGAAATCCTGTTGCAGTGAGCAGGGACTGTGCTGATGTTTGGACAGAGGGCCAAGTCTCTTGTGTCATGTCTGTTGCACCCACAGTCTGGTTCACTTCGTTCCACTGACAGATTTTCTGTTTCTCTCTTTTGTAGCATCTGCTTCCACATTGGCAGATTTCAGTCCAAACTTGTGTGTCAGTTGCTGATTCCCAGCTGGTTTTGTCTCTTTCAGTTTTCTCTTTTCCCTTCTGAATCCTGAAATGTGCAAGAGATGGTACTTGAGGTTTGAGGTGTTTTTTTTTTAAACCTTTCTGTGTTTTAGGTATAGCTGTCAAGTTTGGCAGATTTACCCAGAAAGAAAACAAACAAATCCGGAAAAACGTTGAAGAGTTCTTAGCACTTACTGGAATAGACAGTGCTGAAAAACTTTTGTTTACCTCGAGGGATCCAGAAAATAAACACACCATCCAGCGCCTGAAAACAGAACATCATTTTTGTGAAAAAATCTGTGAGTATTTAAGTTCATCCTCAGACAGCTGAATGTTGCATTCTGCAACCTGGTGATATCCTGGCATGTTCTGTAAAATAATAAATAATAATTCTGTAAAATAATTTTTATTTGAAAGCACTGATGTTGCTAAATTTGGTAAGAAAAGAAGGTGCTGACATGGTGTAGTTGATAATCTGCACAGTCCACTGTTCATTATTACCTGGTCTCAAACAGGAAGAGTTTAGAGATTAAATATGGTCAAGACCAGTAAAGACTTCCAGACTTGCATTTGGCCTTTATGGCTTTAAGTGTATTATTTGCTAAACTGTAATTAAGGTTACTGGTGGCAGCTGTGAGTGATTAAGTCCTGTGTGAAATTGTCACCAGTAAATAGGTGGCAGGTGCAGGACTAAGGGGGGTGGAAGAAACTTGAGCCATGCCAGTCTTCCAAGACATGGGGATCTCCTCAGTCACCAGGAGCTTTATTCTGTGTGCTTGGTGACATCACCTCAGGCAAGGCAGAGTAAAGGGCAGCCTGTCATGGATCAGGATGCTGGGATCAAACTACAGATTTGTTCCTCTGTGGTTCTTTCAGACACACAGTCCTTCCCTCTGCATCAGCACATTTCCCTGATGTTGACTTTCATTCCAGTCTGGGAGTTTGCTCCTGGGCTGGGAGGATTTGGCAGAAAGTCTCATCAGTGTTCTGTGCCTTGCAGTCCCCTCTGCTGGGCACTGCTGCCCAAGGGGGCTGTGTGTTCCCAGGGGCTGGTCTCTGTGGATCTTCCCTGCAGCAGAGATCTTCACTTGGTTTCTGCTGATGCCCCAGTGCCTGCTTTTCCCAGCTGGAACAGTCTGGGAGCACCCAGGGTCTCCTCAGCTCCTGCCTGGTGGCTGTCTCATGTCTCTCTTTAATGGGTGTGTCCAGCATGCCAGTTAAATTTTAATCACACCTGGATCAAATGCACAGGCAGTCCATGCAGTTTGTAGCTGGTGAGTGGAAAGAATCTGTTGTTGGCACCATGGCCATGAAAATGTGTGGTGTTGGGTTTTGGGGTTTGTTTCATTGTGGCCTCACCACTGCTAGAAATGTTTGTTAAAAATGTTCCTTTTCCTTCCAGCTGAGGGCATCCCCCGGCCCTGGAGGTTGATATATTATCGAGCAAGGAAGATGTTTGACCCAAATAATTATAAAGGAAGGTAAGGGAATACTTTACAAGTGTTTCTGAATGCTAATAGCAGTCTGTGTTGATTATTTGTAAATGAAAAATGGATTCAAATGAAGATCATCTCTCCCATTTGTGCCAGTTACCGTGACTTAATTTATAGCTCGTTTTCCCTTTTTGATTCCTGTGTTCCAAAATGTGACTTGAAGTGATAGTGATGATCAACACTGATCACCTGCAGGTGTTACAGCTCTTTAAGAGATTGAAATGGTTTGAATTTACAGCTGAAGCTGTGCCCATTTCCTCAACCAGGTATACTACAGAAGAAAAAGAGCAATTAAAGAAGTATCATGCTCTGCATGGCAACGATTGGAAGAAGATTTCTGAGTTGATGTCCCGTTCTAACCTCTCAGTTGCTATGAAATTCTCTGAAATCAAGTCAGGTATGTAATTTTAAGAAAAAAATTCATTTTGTGTAATGTTACTTGAACTGTACAATGTAGGTACCTTAAACATAAGGAAAAAGTCCTTCAAGTGTGGGTTTTTTAATTAATTAATGGATTTGTAGTGATGGTCCTCTTCTTCACACCACTGACTGCATTTTCATGTGGAAAGGATAAGAAAGATCTCTGAAAGAAAATGGAAAAAAGGTGGAACAAATACAACTCTTTATCAACAGAACTGACATCTAAAAAAGATGATTTCATGGGGAGGGCAGAAGGAATTTGGCAGCCAGGTTTAAAAAGATAACAAATTGAGATCAGACTGTTCTTTGGTGTTTAGGCTGAACTCTCAAGCTTGGTATGCAGAAGGGTTTCTAGGAGATGTGTTAAGAAGTTGGTCCTATAAATAAAAATAATGCAAAGGGAAACATTTGCTCTTTTGCCTTTTTCCCCCTAATCATTCATTATAAATTGTGCCTTAACCTGGTGGGTTTTCAATTTTAGCTATTAACTATGGTCCTTGGACAGAGGAAGAGACCCAGAAATTAGTGAGTGCAGTGAAAGATGTGATGAGGAGAAAGCTGAGAACAGAAAAGCCAAGCTCTCTTTCCTCCCTGGAAGAATCAAACACGGATGTCTGGATCGACCGCGAGCAGCTGTACCAGCCCCTGCCATGGACTGAGATTGAAACCAAAGTGGGGAGTCGGTACTGGAGACAATGCAAACAGAAATGGTGAGGCTTGGACTGAACTGGGATAGTAAATTGTGTTCTGGGGTGTATTTGTTCTGCAAAACTTGTGGTTTGTACAATGATGATCTTTGTAGAGCACAGAAGAGGCATTGCAGGTGAGTCTGAGACAAATAACTCCTTGCTAGCTGCAGCAAGTTCTCTGATAGCAATCTGTTTGCTCTGATTTCTGCCTGGTGTGCTGAGGCCTGAGCAGCAGAGTTGGCTTACATGCTGAACCCTGGGCATTGTGACTAACACCAGCAGTATTATTTAGCTAAAAATAGATGATTGAGACTCTTATGCCAGCTGTTTAACACCAAAGCAGCTGCTTCAGAAACTTTCACATAACCTTGTGTAGTTATCTGCAAGAAATGTATGATTTTGAGAAACTTTCCCAACTGACAGGAATAGCAGCTTCTTTGTAGGATATTTTAGGGGAAATCCTCCCAGCCAAGGCCTGGGCCCTGGCCAAGCCTTGGCCCCTGCTGGCTGGGAAGTGTGCCATCAGATCCAGGTGTTCCTGTGCTAAAAATATAATCAAGTCACTTTGACTTGCTGATTTGTGGCCTATAAAAGCTGCACCCATTTTTGGGGTGAATTTGAAGACCTCACCTGGAGGTAGACACACTGTGTAGGATTTCCCAGTTGTTGGGAAGGGTTCTCCAGGTCCTGCTGTGAAGTGAGGCTCCCTAGTGCCAGGATCTGGATGATGGTAAAATATTGAGGCAATCGGTGATGTATCTTTCTTAATCACTGTCCTTTCTCTCATATAATAATTATATTCTCTTGCACATTTTTGCTTGTTGCTAAAGCCAAGTGTGTAGTTTTATTGAATGTATAATTTTACTTTTTTGTTGTCTTAATATTCATAGTAAAATAAGACCATTCTTCCCATTGATAACTGTGTCCCTTCAATTCCCCTTGTCACTTGGCAGAACACTGCCTCTCTGTGACAGCAGCAGCATCTTAATGCTTGGAGTTTCTTGAAATGATAGAAACCTGCTTTTGTGTGTTTTCATAGGAATTCAATTTTAACAAACAAATTGACCAGAGGGCAGAAGTTGCACAGAGGGACCAATGGATTACGGACCAAGATCACTCTTATTAAAAGGTACAGTCCTGAGCACTGGGATGTTTTTGTATCTCCCACTGTTTGAGCTGTGCTTATAAAAGTTGGCAGGGTGAGAACAGCCTGCTTTGCAGCTTGATACATGGTTTGTAATCATTCTTTCTCTGGACAAAATGTCCTGGAATTTCTGGGGGAGCTGGGAGCACGGAATGATGTCTTTTGAGTTCTGCTTGCAAACTGCTTCTGTCTCACATTCACAGGTTGTATGAAACAAAAGCAGAGGATGCCAGTGAAGTAAACTGGGATGAACTCAGTAGTGCTATGGGGTAAACCTCCTTTCCCTCTTTTTATTGATTCAAAGGGTAGTGAAAGCAGAGGAATCAAAGTTCTGATACCTTTACAACTGTAGGAAATATTCAGTTTGGAAACATTACAGTTGCATATCCTGGCATAGCACTGAGCAGGAAGCCAAGATCTGAGACCCTTAACATTCCAGATAGGAGTGTTGTGTATCTGTGCTTCCAAACGTTCATCAACTAATGGGAAAAATTATGATTTGATATTACAGGTTAATTTTTATTTGAATTCCATCCTTTCTGCCTAAATATAAGCTGGGGTTTGACTTGCATCACTCTCAGGAGTGGATAACTCAGTAACAGTTAAGCTTTATGATAGCTCCTTGCACCACTAATTAATTTTTTGAACTCTTCCCTTTGCAGAGACGTTCCTAGAGCCTATGTTCAATCCAAGTTTTATAGGCTAAAAGTGTCCTTTGTCCCTTTATGGAAAAGAAGGACTTTCTCTGGTCAGTATGCCAGCTGTTTGTACGTGTTCTTTAAGGCTTTGGCTTGAATCTCAGAGGATACTTATTCTGGTTGAATTTTTTCCTAACTGGCTAAAATCTTAGGCTTTATACTTATTTTACTAAATGCTTTTTTTATAATTTTCAGTGTTCTCTTCATGCAATTGCTTATGAGCCTGTTCTTTTTAATACCTTGGCTTGAAAAGTTTTAACACTGTGCATTCTAATTTCTCTTTGCCTGTTTGTGTTATGCCTGATCTCCCTGCATCCCCTGTGATCAGAACAATACAGAGATTTTGTGCATTTAACAATGACAACAGAATTTCTGTGAGATGCTGTTCCTCTACAGATCCAATTAAAACCTTTTCTTTTTTCCTCATAGAAATCATTGACTATCTGTATGAAAATACACTCCCAGAACTTGAAGAAAAGTTAAGGGAAGAAGAGGGGAAATGCAATAACTTGGTCAGTTCAACAGCCAGTCAGCAGCAGAAGGCTTTCAGATTCAGTGACATTTTTGACTCCAATGACGAGAGACTCAATGACATTTTTGACTCCAGTGATGAGGGTGATTAATGGATTGTCCTAAAAGCAATGCCTGATTTGCATATTTAACTGCAAATGGGTCTGGTTGAAAGTGGGTGCAGCTCACCACCTGCAAGTACCAGGCTGCTGATGATGGGAAGAGCCAGGATAGGCACCTCTGATTGCCTTGTTTCATCTTGGAGATTGAGTTAAACAGAGCTTTTGTGCCACATTTTATTTACTTCAGCTCTGGTTTTAGAAGTTTTCATGTAAGCATACAAGTTGCTTTCTAAATGTCTCAAAATACTTTTTTTTTTGGTGGAGTTGAGAGCTGCTGTTTTCCCTTTATGAATGAACTTGGTTTTCACAACTTTATTTTTTTTAAATTCATGACACTGGAAAAAGGTTTCAGTTTGCTTTTAAAACTGTAATAATCAAGTCTTAAGACAACTGTGTTGATGAAAACAGCACAACTTTTAGTGTGTTTTTTTTTTTTTTTTAAACAGGTATCTTATTCTTAAAAGCAACTGCTTTTATTTTTGATGCAGACTTATACTTTTCTCAACCCTTTTAGAGAAAAAAAGACTTTTGTCTGTTACTGTTCATCATTGCATGCTAACCAAAACAAATATGTTGTATTTAATATTTGGAATACAGAGACAAAACAGTGTATATATATACATATGCATACATATATATTTTTATTTTGCCAAGGAGAATTTCTACGTTTTAATAAGAAAATTAAGTAATAAGATGGAGGTTGTGCTTGTGTTTTGTATGATAATTTTAACTCTCTGCCTGAAGTGATTATTTGTAAATTGACTCAATTAATGTAAAAAGCCCCAAAGATATCTTATTATGTAAATTCTTTATAAGGCTTGTTTATATTTCCCATGTGCTGTACTAGACAGTAAAGCAAGAAGACTCAGTCCCTGCTTTTTCAGGGTCATTTTGATAAGTGACAATTTCCCTCTTCAATTCTATTAATCATCAATGAAAATCCAGAACTTTCAATGGCTTGAAATAAAGGCCTTGTTGGAGGGTCTGGAAGGTGACTTACAGCAAGGGATTTTAAAGAAAAACTTCCCATATTTAATTGTGTCTGGCTTTAGTCTCTCTGAAGATAGAAAGCACTGGGATTTTTGGGAGACAGGCAAAACCTCCCCTGCACCAGCCACTGCTTTGAGGCAAAAGTTTTCCAGCTAAGAGATGAAATGGGATGGGGGAAGGAAAACACACACCACTTCCACTTAGGTCTTTGTGTGTTGCTTCATGGGTTTGAAGATTAAAAACTGAAAAACTTGAATTTCTGAACCTAAAACGTTTGTCTTTTTTAAGGTGTTGGTTTTTTTTTTTTTTCCCCCTGGAAAATGGAGATGCTCTGTATTGTGTGCAGGCAAGAGCACAAACAATGCCTGGTTGTGGAGTTTGTAAAGTAAATCTTGCAGAAATAAACTTTGTCTCCATGCTGAGATGTATTTTATTCTTTGCTTTAAAAGAAAACAGTTGTGGCTAAGTGGAATGCACCTCACTCCAAAGAGAGTGAAAAGAATACTTTGACAGAGTTCAATGAAGTTGATGGAATTTAATAAAGTTTTAACAGTGGTTTACCAAGGTTTGAAGTTCACCTCATTAATGATTTATTCATTAGTAGTAATTCAGCTGCTCTCAGTCACTTACCAACGGTCTGGTGTGAGTAAGGGATCCCAAACCTTGGGAGGTTTCCCTGCTCCAGGGCATTCCCCTGGCCTTCAATCCAGCTGTAATTCAGAGTTATTAGGGTGAAATTGGTGCTTGTTAATCAGCAGTGCAGACAGGACAGATGCCTTTGTTTTAACTCATTCTCCACTCATTATCTTGCATGTTTGGGCTTCAAAACCACCTTTCAAAATATTTTCCTGAGGTACTTTCACTCCCTTGGTCAGTGAGCCAGGATCATTCAGCTCCAAGGGTCACCTCAGAGCATGAGCTCCTGTTACTCCCTCCAGAAACTACCCAGGAAAAATCTTGCTGATACTCCTAAAAAGCAGTTTCTGCTAAATATGAGCAAGCCAGGGCTGGAATTGTAAACTTGGAGCCATCACTGCTCTGGCTGTTTTGGGCAAACACAGACCTGAGGAAAGAGAGGCTTCCATCTCCCTGGGAACGGAGCAAGGAAACTCCTTCCCCTTCAGCTCCTTGGGTGAGGTGTCTGCAATCTGTGAGCACAGGGGCAAATAATTGCTTGTTGATTATTTCCAGGTGCTGAAAGGCACAAGGAAGGAGCTTTTCCCTTTACCATCCTCTTCCCCAGACCCATGGGATTACACTTTCCCGTGGATATTTCAGTATTACTGCAAACAGAGCAAACTCTGCAGAGGTTAAAAAAAAACAAAAACAGAGGCTCCACAGAATGATGAAGAAAATAACATTGGCAAAGCTTTGTGTATCAGACTGCATTATAAATAACAGCATGACAGATCATTCAGGCATAAAAGCACCCTAAAAATTTGGGAGTTTCAAGCAGATGTGTCGCTTCAAGCATTTCCCTGGCATCTTCATGGCCTGAGTGGTGTTACAGCACAAAACTCTTCAGCTGTGTGGCATTATCAAAGACAGACGAGTTCCAAGGCTGTGTTTGCAGCACTTCAAAGCTGAAGGAGCAGCTGAAGATCAAACGGGGATTTGCTTTTTTTCACCCCTCTTTCCTGTAAGGTCTTAACCAAGGAGGTGGAGAAAGGTGATGGTGATTTAACTTTGGTCAAAGTTACAAGATGCTTATGTAGCTTGAGGTAAAGGACACCAATATAACCTCTGTATATTTATATATACATATAATATATATACAAATATATATATTACAAGATGCTTATGTAGCTTGAGGTAAAGGACACCAATATAACCTCTGTATATTTATATAACCTGAATCATAGCTTTCTCTACAATGCAGTATATGGTTAGCTAGTTGCTTAATGCTTAAATAAACAGAAATTTGCTAGGATGAATAATCTCACAAACAAGGTGTAGCTATACTGGGAAGTAGGAGGATGTACAAATGAGAAATTGGCAAATGTAAAGCAAATTAACCACAAAATGAAGAATTTTGTCTGGTTAGATCCAGAAAGACCAAGGAACACCATAACTGCACATGCTCTGAAGACAAAGCTGAAAAGTTCAGATGAGAAGACCCCCAAAAACACCTGAATTCAGAAGGAGCAAGCTCAGTACACAAAAACTACTTATAAGCATGAGCTAGCATTATGTAAATTAGCCACAGCACGTAGATGATGATGTTATAATGACACAACAACACTAAGTAATACTTACTGTATAAATAAACCACAGCACTTGACAAGGGTGAGTGAGTGAGGTGGAGACATCCCCCTCGCCTCCAGCGCTGCAATAAACAAATACCTGCTCTGTTGACACCAGTCTATGGTGGTTTATTTCCAACCAGCCTTTATGAGCATCACCATCCGTCCCTGAGGCGGTGCTCGGGCGATAACACCGCCCGGGCCCATCACCGTCCGTCCGTCCGTCCGTCCGTGAGGCGGTGCCTGGGTATAACACCGCCCAGACCGATCACAGTCAGTCCCTGAGGCGGTGCCCAGGCTATAATAACGCCCCGGCCGATCACAGTCCGTCCCCGAGGCGGTGCCCGGGCTATAACCCCGCCCGGGCCCAGCCCCGTGCCTCAGTTTCCCCGCCCGCCGCCTCTGGGCCGGGCTGTCCCTTTAAGGCTCCTCCCGCGGGAGGCAGCGAGCGCCCACTTCCGGCCGCGTCCGGAAGCGCGGGCAGCGCCGCGGCCTCAGGGCGGCAGCGGCGGCGCCGGGAGGGCCGGGCCGTGCCGGGCGGACCGAGGGGCCCGCGGGAGCGGCGTGAGGTGAGCGGAGCGAGAGATGAGCTGAGCGACCGTCCGCTCGCCCCGCACCGCCTTGGAGCTGGTGCCGCCGCCGCGGAGCCCGCGCTGCTGCCCGGACGCCCTTTTGTGTCGCTCCCTCACGCCGCCTCACGGCGGGCCGGGTCCCGCTTGGCGGGAAGGGACGGAGGGCACCGGGCAGGGCGGCCGAGGCTCTGGTGGTGCTGCCGGGGCGCACCAGGGATTAGGATGAGGGTTGGGATTCCGATGGGGCCGACACCGACACCGGGGCGGGTGCGGCGGCTCCGGAGGCGAAACCGAAAGAGTTTTCGGTGCTCCGTGCGCAGGTGCCGGGGCTCCGCGGCCGCTGCGGGCTGTCGGTAGCAGCGTTACAGGGCACGGCGCTGCTCCTGCCCGCGCTCCTTTCAGCGATTCCCTCGCTTAACGGGCATAGGGAAATATTTACGCTTTTTGTGAGTGAAAAGCGAGGCAAACATCCGCATTTGAATGACAGAAGGGATTGTCTTGCAAATGGTGCTTACCGCTTCGTGAAATGCATTAGTGCAGCTGTTAACCTAAATACCAGAGCAGTTCTTAAGTGCGAGCTGGACAGAGTTCTGCTGATCTGGAAAAAGGTTATATCAGGTGAGGGTTGGCCTCTTCTCTCAGACAGTGAGGGACAGGAGTGGACAGAGCCTCAAGCAGTGCCAGGGAGGTTCAGGCTGGGCATCCTTCAGGCAGGAATTCCTTCACTGAAAGAGTTCTTAAATGTCTGAGTGTTGGAATGGCCTGCCCAGGGCGGTGGTGCGGTCACCGTCCCTGGAGGCGTTCAGCTGCGTGTGGCACTCAGTGCTGAAACAAGGGATTTGAGGTTTAATAGGGAATTTAGGGTAATTTAGACAGTAGATACGTGAACATGTGGTATTCATTATTCTGCTCGTACGGGACTGGGGTAGGGGACCCTCTGAAGGATACCTGCTACCTATTAAAGTTCTGCTGAGCTCACAAATAAGAGAGACCCCTGATAAAAACTGCTGGGCTTGCCAGAAAATTCAAAGCAAAGAGAGAAAGCAAAGAGTGCATGAGAAAACACTTGAGTTTGAAAGTTCAACAACTATGAAGACTTTGAGCCTTCATCTTTGCAGGCCCCCAGACTCATTTTAAGACCACCGACTCAGTAAAAAGGATAAACTGTGCAGTAGCAGCTAATTTCCATACCATGCGGAGAATGGGCGGGGTTACATACTGAATATGTATAGGCCCCATAGAATATGCATGTTCTTTGTGAATAAACAGATTTGAGAATGTTGGGGTACGCAGGATTTGGGAAGATGCTCTCCCCCTGCGTCCAGGGCTGAATAAAATACTTTACAACCTTTGGTTGTGGAGTCGTGACCGTGCTGCAGGTGACAAGGTGGTGCTTGGTCACAGGCTGGATTCGGTGATCTCAGAGGTCTTTTCCAGCCGGACTGACCCCGTGATTCAGCGGTTTGATTTCTGTTTTGCTCTAGATCTTTGAAACACCACCGAGACTTGGTCACCGGGGGGTGGATTGCTGAGGATACGGCTCTGCCCTCTGCACTCAGGACGTGTATGGCTGAAGGGCTCGGCCCCTTCCCTGGCTGCAGGGCAGCGCTGTTCTCCTTCCCACCATGTGACCTGGCACACCTGCACAGCAAATAGCTGCTTTTTTCAAAGGTAAATGCCACAATTGTTGGGTTTTCCCAGTATATGTGTATGGATGAGGAAACTTATGGCTTGGCTTTATCTGGTTTTTTTTGTTTTTTTTTTTTTTTTTTTAATGCTGAATAAAAGAAGTAGTTACCATCTTTCTTTTTGTATGGTTAGTTCAAGAGTTCACGCTTTTGCAGCCTTCCATTGTCTGAAGGATCTTACAAGGAGAGGGACCCTTCATCAGGAACTGTAGTGGTAGGACAAGGGGGAGTGGATCCAAACTGACAGAGGGCCAGGGTTAGATTGAGTATTAGGAGAAAGTTCTTCCTGTGAGGGTGCTGAGACCTTGGCACAGCGTGCCCAGAGAAGTTGTGGTTGCCCCTGGATCCCTGGAAGTGTCCAAAGCCAGTTTGGATGGGGCTTGGAGCAACCTGGGACAGTGGAAGGTGTCCCTGTCATGGCAGGGGGTGGAATGAAATGGTCCTTAAGGTCCCTTTCAACCCAAACCATTCTGTGATTCCAGAGTTCTGTGGAATTTTTCAGGCTAGCAGGATCTGAGATGACTCCATTGCTGCTTAGTGAGGGATTTTTGTTTTTAGAGGAAAGCAATCTGTGGTGAGAATTTTAGCACTCTTTCTGTCTATAAAAATAAGAAAGACAAGAAAGTTCTGCTTAAATATCCTTAGCTTGTGACAACAGGGATTTGTTGGCCTATAAATTTTAGTAGGAGATTAAGGAAAGAAGCTAATTAAACTCTCTGCCACTAGACCTAGATTCCAGAGACACCAGTAAAATAATATAAAGAGCTTTTAAGAGCTCTTTTATAAGAGATTTTCTGGAAATCACAACCCAAACCATTCTGTGATTCCAGAGTTCTGTGGAATTTTTCAGGCTAGCAGGATCTGAGATGACTCCATTGCTGCTTAGTGAGGGATTTTTGTTTTTAGAGGAAAGCAATCTGTGGTGAGAATTTTAGCACTCTTTCTGTCTATAAAAATAAGAAAGACAAGAAAGTTCTGCTTAAATATCCTTAGCTTGTGACAACAGGGATTTGTTGGCCTATAAATTTTAGTAGGAGATTAAGGAAAGAAGCTAATT